GGGGCCAGATACAGACATTACTTTTACCAGTATAAGTGATCAGAAACAGGTCTATACCCAGAACAGAACAGAAGTTTGGCACATGTAGACTGGTTAAAAAATGGTAGAACCTGGTTTCAGATTTCTGCCCCTGCCCGCTTTGTGCCCCCATCCCCTCCCCTCTGGAGTGAACTTGTGTTCTGTTTGCTATTGACCTAAACTACACCTCTTACAGAAAACCACATAACTCTATATGTTTTTCCTATGTACCTCAAGGTATCAGGTGTGGCTCGTGAATGCTGAGATCGTGGGGCGGATGGAGCGTTCCAGAGGAACGGGGGGAGGGTTCCCCCACACGCTCAGTGGTGGACCTGGAAATGCCAGTCCACTTCCGAGTCCACCACTGAGTGCACGGGGGGGACTCCTCCCCACATCCCCCCAGCTCAGTGATAGGCTGTGGGGAGACCCCGGTGCCCCCCCAGACCCAGGAGGCACCAGTCGTTGAGCCGGGGGGCAGGGGATTCCCCCATGTGCAGCATGCCAGACCTAGAAGTGGACCAGAAGCACTTCTGGTCCACTTTCGGGTTTGCTGCTGAGTGTGTGAGGGCCCCCCTACACCCCTGTGGGATGCTTCATCTGCCCAACCATCTCAGAGTTCACAAGCCATGCCTGGTACCTCAAGATACATAGAAAAAACATATAAAGCTGTGCCCAAATTTTGTTGAATCTCTCCAAATTTCTCCAAATCAATTTGGAGGCTTCCAATTTGATTCAGAGAAATTAAAAGGTGATTGAGATTCAGAGATTTGGCCACTGAATCAAGCCGAATCTCCTTTGAATCGAATCAGTGACCGAAGCTTCACACAGCCTTAATAAATGTTATAAAAGCTAGCCCAAGTAATGAGATAAGAATCCAGAATTTCTGTTGAGACCATACTTAACTCCATCCAATCTGTTGATTTCTTGTGATTCAATGTCACGTTCAAGTTGGGTTTTTTTTGTTTTCTTTTAGTTTTTTATAACAGTTTTGTTGTTTAAGAACAGCTACTCTGAGGTCAGCAAGGAAATACCCACAGAGGTTAAACTGTTGTGTCACAGGCTTTTGTATCTTTCTGGAATTTCATAGATTTCATAGACATTGGGGCTGGAAGGGACCTCTGGGTCCGACCACGGAGCTAATTTCCCAGCCAGTGAATCATGGTGGACCCAAGGCCACAATTGGCCAGTTAATGCCAAACCAGTGTCCATTGAATCTTTCATGTAGGGAACATCCCATCTATCCTATGTAGGCAGGCACCTGTAAGCCGGTGATGGCATATACCATATACCAGGAGCAGGTGAATGGATCCCTGATATTATAATCCAAGTGTTTGGTCCAGTGATGATATGGTCTGTGTAGATGAGGGGGCACAGTTGGTATCTGGGTCTGAATCAAGGCCTAGTGCCTTGATAAGAAGAGGAATTAGGCAGTTTGTTGCTGGAGAAACATCATTTGAGGTTGGGGGGGCTGCCCTAAGCCAAGACAGTATTGTCTCCCAAGGCTACCTTGAGATGGTCATTATATTTCAGAAGACATTGCAGGTCATTAATGATGTGTCCAAAGTATTCAAGCTGTGGCCTGGAAGTGGCTACGAGAGATTCTGTTGCCTTTGTCTTAGGGTTGGTGTTATAACAGGTCAGAGTGGGGTCTGAATCTTGCTCTGTTTATTTGAGTGAACATGGTTTTAGGATTATATCATGAATATAGGAATCCTTGCCAGCTCCATAAGGTGTGCATCCCATTTGGTGGGATTGGAGCAAATGTGGTTGTAGCAGACAGCTTGTCTATAGACAGTGGATCTAGTGATGTGCTTAGGACACAACAAGTGGCATGGAGTTAGCTCTCGCATTGCGGCAGTCGTGCGGACGGTGCAACACTTCACAGTGATGCTCAAGAAATGAATTTGATGTGTGGAATATTTAAAAATCCATTTTATGGATGATTGGAAGTTGTTAAAGTCTGGGACTTTATCTGAACATGTCTACTAGCTACTTTTATGTTTTGATTCCCAAGCAGGCTCACTCTTAGGAAGGGAATAAAGGTCATTTGCCTTCTCTCCTTGGAAACTTGACTCAGTGGATTTAATATTGCAGCTTAGTAGTATTTTTGAGACCTATTTATACAGCAAATTTCCTTTTGCTTAGGACGCTTTCTGGTTCTTGTCCATTTGAATCTAAATTATGAAACAACTTTGCATTCTGTAGCATTGCAGAGTAGCATGCTGCAGATTCCAATAAATGTAATAATTTATTTAAATAATAATTTAATATGAATAATTAAAGGCATTTATACATGTTCTCTGGGTGTGGGGAGGGCTCCAAGAGCTGCTTTAATTAAAGCTTGTTGAATGAGCTTTAGTTAAAGTGCCCCACCACCATTTTTCAGTGCAGGACTGATACGCAAGACCCTGGAGTCTGCTGAAGCATGGTAATTACCACGCTCCAGGAGACTCGATTAATCAAGTCTGCTCCAACACTCTGTAATTACAGCGTTTCAGTATAGCCTTGCTGCATGTGTACAGGCACCTTAAATGACTATGGTATTCCTTTTGTTTAATTGAAATTTAAATTCATTATGTTATATTGCCCTACATATTTAATATTAAATATGCTGTAGTTCTAATACTGGAAATGCACAACTGTTGTGGGGAAAGTTGAAGATTTTGGCAGATGGGTATAGGAAATGTTGAACCTAGAAAATGTGAGAGACAGGACTGTGGGATAATCACAGCAGGTTGATGATTTTGCAGTAATGTTTCTTGAAGGAGCCCTATGCTTTTCTATCATCACCAGGACATTTTTTGTCACTTACAGCAGTGCTCTACTCTGAGGTTAGTGAATGATGGTACAAACAAACCTCACTGTGCTCAGCTGCCACTATTTGTAAAGGATGGTGCTAAACTGACCTTTTTCTGACAGTCCAGTTTTATTCCTGTGAAAAGGTACCATGGCTCTGTAGGGGATTCTGGGGACTCATCATTGCAGGCATGGAGGAAGACAGCTCCAAGTCCACTTGAATAAGAGGAAAAAGCCCCATAGGTATCTTTGCTAAAATGCCTGTGCCAAAATCCTGGGAAAATAAGGTTTCAAGCACAAAGTGGAACCAGTGAACTATATCACCACAACAGGGCCTTTCATTACCTGACAAAGCAGTATTTTCTGCACCACTTCATCATTCCCGGAGCTTTTGTGAGGTTTGTTTAGCTTGGAGATCAGGACATTGGTTGTATTAGAAAAATCGCACAGTGTATTTGACATATGATCAGTCTGTTCCAGTCAGGGAGTGTTTGACTCTGCCCTGCTTTTGCACACGCACACACACACGCGCGCGCGCACACACACACACGCGCACACACATACACACACACACACACACACACACACACACACACACACACACACACCCACCCACACCCCTACCATACAGCCATACTTCCATGACCCAGAAATGTTTAAATAATCCATTTTCATTGCACATCAGAAGTGTATCCTCACATCAGGAGTTACTGTCTTTGCATTATTATCCTATTTGCCACCCTCCCACTCTCTTCTGTTATGAACAGTCCAAACTTCTTCGCGTCAGGTTCTGGGTATCCTGCCTTTTCCCCTTCCCACTGGGTCAGGGCTTCTGTGTATCTTCATTTGCACTTTTTCATCATGCTAGTGGCTTACATTTACCTCTTACCTCATCCCCTTGTTTCCCCTTTTTCCACCATGGCATGGACTGTATACTCCCACCTCCCACATACCCTTCCTCAACTTTCTCTTTACCATTAGTATTTCATTTGTTTTCATTTGGTACATAAGGCATTAAGGGTATGAACGTGTCAAATATGCATTGGGAGAATTAGCAGAGCTGAGACTGGGTACTGCTGCCAGTATTAATGAGAGAAATACCATTAAATTAAGTGTAAGACCATGCTTCACATGGATAATAATTATTATTGTTATTTCTTACTTGTATAAGACATTCATTTTCATAACTAGGTATATTTTACAGTTTAGATTTGGATCCTAAATATTCTGAAATTTGAGGTCAAAATACAGTATTCTTCTCCAATGTCCAAAGCTATAAAACAAAATACTGAGAAGGATCTAGCCAGTCAGCCAAGAACCAAGGATTTCATAGCTCATTAATGAGAGGAAGTCTGAAAAAAAAAGATTTGTGTTCACAAATGTGGCTAGGTTTTTGCTTAAGTATTTCTGAAGACAGTGAATTTCAGAACAGTGTAGAATAGTTATCAAGAATACTGTGCTTCCATTTCCCACAAGCTTCATCTTTGAGTTGATGAATCTCAATGGGCTACCACTCTATAAGTGCCACATATTTTATTCCATTTGACTTATACCAGTAACCTAAATGAACAGATGAAGGAAGATAGTGAATTAAATCAACCAGTGATAACCTGCCCCCTCCCCCAACACACACAGACAAAGATTAGCATGAAGCAAAAATCACTAATGGAACAGTGTTCACACAAGAGCTGTCAAAGAATGCATAATGTAACAATGCTGATTTTAACTGCAGACTCACACATTAATTAATTTTAACATTTTCATTTAAGCTTGTTTCCACAGCTTTGAGGAGCTGACCTTTGAAGTGGTCCCTGATGAGAATACACTTGACTATATTAATAGCCATATCCTGAGAAAGTGTTTCAATTTCAAACTGAAAATAGCTCAAAGTTATAGGCTATATAAATAGGACTCACGCAAGTGCTACATGTTCATGCTACCAGCATTTTGTAGAGAGCACACAGAGAAATGTATAATGGAACTTGAAGAATTATATGGAAAATTAAAAGTTGAAAGGCAGGTTTTCAAATTCTTTGGAACATTATTTACCTGAAAATAGTTTAAAATAAACAGGTGTATGTAAATAGATGACGAGTGGCCTGCTTCACCGTGACATAATTTTAGATCTCTGTTTGTAAATCTAATAGTTTTCACTATAGAGAAAGACATCAGTTGACTCTGGTGACTACTATCAGGTCCTTTATGTAGAGACAACTGTGTGCCAATTAAGACATAACCAATCTAAAATTAATGAAGTTTAAAAAATGGCTGAAATACTGAACTACTTTTCTAAATTTTTTTAGCAAAAATTGAAGAAGTAGTCTGTGTAATTGGGAAGTAATAGAAAACATGTAAAGCCATAAAACAAGCTAGGGGAAATTTGACTGTGTACAAAGCAAGTATTTAGAGCATTGATAAAATGGATAAAATTGATAACATGTCAGAAGCTATGGAATCACTGATGATAATGTGAATGAAAAATCATGAGCACACAGTATTATGAATCTAAAATGAAGGAAGGCAAATGTAAAAGCTGTTTTCAGGTAAGGAAATATTAGTGATCCTTCTCTTTATTATTCCAGACACCAAAAAAGTCACGGATTCTGAAGTGTCTGGGGGCCTGTTCTTACTGAAAAGAGTAGTAAATTGATTTCTGTGGAAGAAGGATTGGGTTTCTAAAGAGTAGTGGAACTATGATTAAATTGGTAGTTTTGGATTATTAATGTGTCATAAATGTGGTTGTTTTTTGATAGAATTACAATATTACTGAATAAGGGAACTGCAGTAGATCTATTATGTGATGTTGTATAACAAAAATTTTAAAAATCCCATTAAGCTTCATTGAAAAATTAAGATGATTCGGATAGGGAAAGCATCATATGGCTGGAAGTCAGACTAATGGACCACAAGGAATAGTACTGAAAAAGGATTATGTCATGATACTTTCCTATTGTTATTACAAAAAGGGCTGAGTTTAGCACTAGCCTTATCAAAAATCTTCCTTAATAGTATGAAAGAGGAGGTACAGAGCACATCAGTAACATCGGCAGATGATAATAAAGAAGCAGAAGTGGTGAACATCAGTGGCTATAGAAAAACAAATTCAAAGGCACCCTGAAGAATTAGAAAGCATAGGTAGAAAAAAAATGAAATTTATCTTAAGAAGGTAAACAAATGCAGCTCCCATACATTATAGGAGAGAGAAGTTTAGGAAGCCAAAATACTTAGAGAATATCTAGAGATGACAGTAAGTAGCAAAATATTGCTGTCTTGTCAATGGCTTATTACTGCAATAAAGGCCAATTCATTTGAGAAGAGAACCATCCAGAAGAGTTGACCTTATTCATGTTGCTTTGGTACAGCTGTTCAATTTAGAGTACTACCTTACCAGAAAGATAGTGACAAATTGCAGGATGTTCAGTAAACAGCAACACTTATGAAGCATGATTTAAGCTTAAACTGAAGTGAAGAAGTGGAAAATGTTATCTGCAAACAAACAAAACAACCAAAATTTATTTATTTATACATGGATTTATATAGTGTTTAATACAATCTAATTGTATAGTTATTATATATTGTTTAATACAATATAAAGTTATATCATTTAATACAATGTAGTGATTTTAAGGGCAAGTTTCATGACTTCTGAACATTTGTGGTTGGCAGTACTGTTTGTTTTCACAAGGGATTCTCATATTCTCATGGATAAAAATTACTTATTGCATTAAGTGGAAGTTGGAAAACACCAGATGAGAAGGCAATTTTATTTTTACCCTTTGTACAAAATTCATGAGAAAAATCATGTCGCTAGTTTTACTACTAGTGTGAAAATGATTAAGAAACTCAAGTGAAATTCAAGTAGATGTGATGGTATAATATACCAACAAGTTGTAAATTTTAGCTAGGAAAGTGCAAACCAGTTTGAGAAGACTAAGAACTGGCTTGAAATTTCAAACTCAAAATCAAATTGCAGCAAATGTTTATTGTGCCTAGAAAAGTTCAAACAATTTCATCACCTTTATTTTTTATTTTTGTTGGCTTAAATGTTCCTAATTGACTAGTACTAAAAATGCTGGCATTCTGCATTAGAGGCTGTTCTCAGAGCCTTTACAGCTCTACTACAAGAAAACAGCTCAAACAATCTCATAAATCAACCTATTATCATAAGATTTTCAGTTTTTGCAGATTTCAGAGGTTCTGTTTCTTTGCATAAATTCCAGATAAGCACTAAAATTTTGGAGGCACCTAAGGAAAACCAGGTCTCTAAATTTACTCATCACTCATCATGGCCACATTTATGAGCTATTACTATGCAAATAAAGTCCAATTTCTCCTCTCAGTAACACATCCATAATTCTACTGAAGACTGAAGCTAAAAGGAGGATCTGGGAAATCAAATATCAGTGGTTGCAAGATAAAGCCAAGGAGATCCAGCTCTGTGCTGAGAAACAGGGCATGCATAGCTTTTTACATGCAACCAAAGCCATCTATGGCCCAGCTTCCATGGCCCTACTTTCCTGTGATCACAGGATAGCTTGATGCTCCTCAAAGGTAATTAGTCTATTTAAGATGGATGGAAAGATGAATTAGAGGCACTCTTGAACCATGAGTCAGCTGTGATGGATACCATCATTGAGTCCATCCACCAACACCCTGAAACGGGATACGTTACCAACCCTCCAATCCTAGAAGAAGTCTGTTGTGTCATCAAGAACATGAAGAACAATAAATTACTGGACTGGATGGCATACCTGTTGAACTTTCCAAGGTTGGAGGCAAGGAACTGGTTTTGAGATTCCACAAGTTTATTTTCTGAATTTGGAACAATAAAGAGCTTCTTGGGGACTTGAGGAATGCCAACATAATGACTATCTTTAAGAAAGGAGATAAATCTGTGTGTAGGAACTATTGAGGTATCACCCTCCTTTGCACAGTAAGGAAAACCCTCTCCAACATCCTCCTGAACTGTCTTCTACCTCTCGTTGAGGAAGTCCTACTAGAATCTCAGTGTGGTTTCAGACCATCCTGTGGGCCATGATCGCTGTTGCCCATTAGATCCAAGAAATGTATCAGGAACAATATCAGGATGTGTAGATAGCCTTCATTGACCTTACTAAAGCCTATGATTCTATCAATTGCAAAGCCTTGTGGAAAATACTGGCCAGATTAAGATGTCCAGAAAAGTACATCAAGGTCCTGAGGCTTTTTCAGAACCAGGTGATTATGACCATTCTTTGTAGCATATCAGAAACAGTTCCATTTGTCATCAGAACTGGGGTCAAAGTTCCTATGTGAGATTCACAGTCCCATCTTCTCCCTCAGGATTTGAGTGTATAAGTAGTTGTTCAGGGTACGGGAACTCACTCTTTTATATCATGGCTGCCTGAGAAGGTGATTCTAGTTGTGCTGATACTCATCTTTTCTACAGTATCCCTATAGTTATGGATTCACCCAGGTGTCAGGAAACCTGAGTTTAATTACCTCCTTAACAAAAGGAATTTACACTCCCATCTTGTAAGAGAGTGCCCTAATTACCAGGCTGTAAGAAGGGCTAGGGTGAGGACCTGTGGAAGCTGTGCTGTAAGGAATGCAAAATTCCTGGGGCCAAAGGCTGTTAAAGAGGAGGTTGAGGTTTGAAGTCCAGTCAGAGAATGTTTACTTGGGAAAATGGAGTTCTGGATGCAATTTCCTGCTTCCAGGACTCTTTGCAATGCACAGGAATATTCACTGGCTAACATATGCTGGGCTTTGAAGTCTTGCTCCTTCACATGCTCTGTTTTTGGCCACATGAATTTTGATTTCCTCTCACCCAGTGGCCTGCCAACCAGATTGTTTCCCTCAGAGGATCTAAGTAGTCTGAGGATCCCAAATAGGTTTTGGCCTGAGATCACACTGAGATGTCTAATCCTGCCATAACTCCAGCAGTTCCAGGCTTCTCTTGTAATAGAATGCTAGACTCCAAGGAGCTTTACTGGTGAAGCCTTAAGCTACTGAAAATTCTTAAGTGTTTTAAGGTATGTCGTGGATTTCAGTTTGGGAGTTAGGCTCTTAGGGCATTTATACATGTGCTCTGGGAGGAGGGGGAGGGGGACACTTTAATTAGAGTGGCTCCAAAAGCCGCTCTAATTAAAGCGCCCAGGGTGTCATGTGTATCAGTGTCCCTGTGCTGAAAA